CTCTTTACTACAGACACAATACTAACAAAGTTAATCCTATAAACTCAATCCCCTCAAGGTCTTGAGGGGGCCTCTAGTCCAATATGTACTGCGCAGTTGTTTGTCAGCGGGTCTTGGCGTGTGCGATCATATCTGATCAAAAACAATCAAAACGAACTATCTGATCAGATCTCCACTGCTGATGGTACGTACGGTACCCGTAGTTCTGGTCACCTACACAGGCACATCTAATACTATACCTCGCATGATAGGTCTGGACCCTAGATAGGTTTGCTGCGATACATACATACCGGGTCTCCCATACACACCAGATCTCTTTCCTTACCTCTCACCACTATCATTATTCCTCCATCTTTTTCCATCCCTGATTGCTACGACAGCTACTCCACCCACAGCCTCACACTCTCTTCCCTCCTCTGCAATTCTTCTCGCTCGATACAATTACCAGTACAAACACTCCCTTTCTTTCCGCAACTTGGTTCCAAGTTATGATAGTCTGTGTCCGTTGCCGACACAAGAAACTCACAGAGGAGTATGACCGAGACAGAAGAAATCAGTTGCGAAAGTCCTGCCGGGTCTGTTTGGTATGTTTTATCCAATATGTACTGCGCAGTTGTTTGTCAGTGATCTGATTGCGCGTTTTATCGCTGAATGTCGATCTCTGATGGCGATCTGATTAGATCCTGCACATGCTGAGAGCTGCACCTGCTGGTATTTCTCAGCATGTCAAACCATGATCAATCCTATACCATCCCGTACTTCTGAGACTGTCAAACCATGATCAACTCTTCTCTACAGGATATTTTCCATCACTTATACCATGAGCGGAATGCAAGAGAATAAGAATAATAAGAATTAGTTGTTCAGAAAAGAATCTAGAAATAAATTAAATACTAGGAGAAGAGAACCAAACAATTGATGCTCGAAGTTTAGAATTGAATACAGAGTAAGAAATGAAAGTGGTCCAACAGTCCCAGATGTTAATAATATAAATAAGAAAATCCAAACAAGAATGAAATATATTATTGAAGGAGTAAATCACAAGAAGACAAGAAAAACATGAATATAACAGAAAGTAAAGAAGAAAATTAACAGGAGAATAATATAATTAACAATACTAATAGAGAAAGTAAAACTTTAGTAATAGGCCCTGAAACCTATACCCTCTTTGGTAGTTTTTACAGCTTATACAAATACTCATCTCTCAGTATATCTGATCCCTCTCATATACCTGCTGTCTATATAAAGCCATCCTCCCCCCTCCTTTCCTCTTCAACTCCAGCATTCTCACCTTTCTTGACCTCCTTATATATGCAACATAACAGCATTCAAAATTACTTTGAAAATAAAGCAAAATGAAAATAATATTAATCAACTAAAAAATTGGGAAGAAAAATAATAATAAGAAGAAAATATGGGGAACTAATAAAAAATCAGAAAAAATAGAGAGTTGAAAGAAACCATATTAGAAGCAAAGAATCAAGAAAGAAAAAATACAAGAAGTGAAAACATGATAGAGAAATAAAAATAAAGAAATTTCAAAAGTGAAAAAGAAGAAGAGAAATACTGGAAGAAACAATAATAATAAGGGAATAAAGAAGAAATAAATGAAACTAATAAAAGAAATAATAAAATGATATGAAAATAAGTTAAAGGCAAAGAAAATATCAAAAATATAAAAGAAAATAAAACTATAAGTAGGAGGCTGATAAAAGAAAAATAAAGTCTACAATACAGAACAAAAAATAAAAAAATAAAAAACAAATAAAAGAAGAAAGAAAAGTGAAAAAAGAAGATATAGGAGAAGAATAATAAAGTAAAATGATAAGAGAACAGAGTATAATGAAGAAAAATTAAATTATAAATAAGAAAGACAAAGACAAAGCAGAAGCTAAAGAAAAAGATGAAAAGCTGAATTGAGATATGGGTAGTAAGATGAAGAAGAAATATAAATGATAAAGGATAAGAAAAATACAAGAAAGGTATGTACCTGGAAATACTATTCATAATATTTATTAACACTATGTTTATCTGTCTCTAATGCTATTCTGGTACTACTAACTGTTTATAGTATTTTAGCATCCAGTTCAATTATAACTAGAATGGTTCAAGTAAACCTATTATAAGGTTAGTCATTACTCTACTACCTACAGTTACTATATATGAAAAATTACTATACATATTTATTAATTGCTGACTTGAGAAAGATTTTTAGTGACTAACTATTTGTTAACTACTAGCATCCTGTCTATTGCCTACCAGTATAATCTAGGTATAGTTCATTCTCACTTGCTTGCTTGTTTCACTTGAAACCTAAGGGAATATAGATAATTACTACTGGTATTTAGTTAATTAGTACTTTTGTTGATATTCTATATATACTAACGATTTCCAGTTCATAGGAGCTTTCCTAGAAAAGTTCAGATCGAATTCTTTTGCTACATATTTTTTTTATTCCTCGTACCTCATATAAAGACGAAATATTATTGTATCTATATTTTATCCCTACAATCTACAATAATTGTGCCCTCTACTAACCCCTCTTAGACTCTAGAAAACCTGTTTAACTTCTAACCTAACAATCTACCTGTATTTTGTTTTTAGGTTGATTCTTCTCAGCCTTTTAGATGTTATAAACAAGGAAAATTACTATTTCTATCTTCTATTACCAAAAGCTCTACTAATTTCTACCTCTACTCGCTTCTTATAAGTGGCTAATATTTATTTAATTGCAACCATTATGATCTAAGTATTATTCTATCTTTTTATTTCTTCTGTCTTGATCTCAGCTAAAATTTAGGAACATGTATAGTAATTACTCACTCGGTTATATTTCTGTTCCATGAGCATCCCAAACCAACTAATGATTTATAGATTATAGAGGCTGTCTTAATTCTCTATTAGAGTAATTTCAGAATTATTGCTTTTTTATATTTATCTTCTCTTCAAAAAGGTTCTGACGGATAAACAGATCTCTTCTAGATATCTCTTCAATTCTAGCATGGTCTTATTCTATCAACTTATTTATTGTAGTATCGTCCTACAATATATTTACTGCTAATTAGGATATTTTCAAAAACCTCGATTATTCTTTCATTCTTCTGTACTACCTGCTACTGGCAAACAAAAAAATAATCTTTCCTCTTGGTGTATAATTTGAATCTACTTTAATTTCTTTCATATTATTATTCTTGTATTGACTCCAACTACTTTTCAGTCACTGCAGTCCCCATTTCCACATCACATAATAGTTTCACAAGAGCCAGTTTTTTCTCTAATTCTTAACCACTACCCCCTTCCGGCAAACTAAAAAAAAGTATCTTATCTGTTAGTTTTCAACTCCTGATGACTTTAATTCTACCCAGTTCTTACTAACTACTTACACATTACTAGAGTCTGATTGACTACCTCTGAGAATCATCTTGGCAATACTTCTTTTGTCTTAATTGCTTTACTAGAATCTGTTACTGCTATATTCAAAATTAATGTATTAATTATACTCTAATCCCTGCTAACTCTAATTCTGTCTACTTAGTTCTAACTACATGTAGGTTACTTGCATCCTATTTTTTCTCCAGAAGCATCATTCTTATATATATTCTTTTTACTATATCTCTCATCTAAAACCTGCTACAGGTAAAGAAAAACCTGCGTCTTAGGCATTTTTTTATTTCAACCACCTCTAATTCTATTGGTATATTTCTATCTTTCTACTATAGCTTAAGGTTCCTGGTATCCTGTTGCTACCTACAGGGATGAATTCTGGTATAATTGCTATTTTCTGTCTCTGTTCTAACATCTGGTACAATAATATAAAAACAAACTTCTAAATTTTTTATTAAGTCCAACCAGCTCCAGTTCTATTATGTTATTTCTAACCACTTAGTGCTTCTGAAACACTTATTCACTATTTCAATCTTTCTTTTCTGCTACTTACCTCCTATAGGAAAGGAAAGAACATTATAGTTTTTCTTTTTTAATCTGAATAAGTGCCAATTATTTAGTTTATACTTACCTCTTATAGTTTAGTAGAAAGTATCTTAACTTAGCCCTCTCCCATATTAGTTGTGTTTCAGATTTATGTATTTTAATTTTTTTTATATTTTGTTTTCACTCTTTTTTGAAAACCTCTCTAGGTTTATAGCTAGGCAGTATTATTTGGTACCAGTTGTATGTTATCCTTTATTTTTAGTACTGAGATTTGATATTGGATTTTTTAGATGGTTGTTTTAAGTACAAGTATTATTGACTACTGAATTTGTTTTACCTACCTCCTTGTAGTATGTATTTTCATTGATTTTTTTGAAAGTCTTTTCTGATACTTAATTGCTATAAGCTTTTTTCTTTACTATTTGTATGAGGTACAATTGAATTATGTACTTAAAGAGAAATAGTTCATATATAGTACAAGCAATAATTGAAGCTCTAACTATTTAATAATTGTAGTAAAAAGAAAATTTAAGACCAATCAAAATATACTTAATAAATAATATCGAGGTAGGGCCTATGTTTGTAGAATAATTGTATATATCAGATTAAAGTATATAAAGTACTATCTATCGTATAACTTTAATTCTATCTTTATTATATAGGGCTTACACCTACCCTACTTTCGAATACTTAAGTTTTGATTTGTCTCTTAATATTCCTAACAGGATGACTAGCAAATTTGTCTTCAACTCTACTAATATATTTAAACTACAACCTTTTACTAATACTTCTACTTACATCTACAAGTATAAAGAAGGAAGATGGTCGAGCATAGGTCAAGGGGCCTCTAGTATTTGGTACTAAACAGCCTAGTGAAGAGGTTCGAGACGTCGCAGGCTCAAGCGCAGAAAAATATCAGTGTTTACTCTTTGGTTTTCTTAGCACGAGATCCACATTTAAGCCATACGAAATGTCAGTAGATACTGATGCTGCACGCTTGTTCATCGAACCTTCCCACCGCCAGTCTCGATAATCCAAACTCCCAAGAGGACTTAGCTATCATACTCGTAACAGAAGACTAATATACAATCACAAAGTGGTTCCTCTATCAAACCCCGCCTCCCATTCCATTTTCACCAAATTAACGCAAAAACCCCACATCGCCTCCATTTAATACAAAAGAGGGGAAAAAAAAAAAGAACTTTAAGGCTCAAGCGGCCAAAGCCCTCGAGAACAAAATTCTCAGGAACTCCATGAGGTTAGCGAACATGTCTTATACGTCTAGAAGGGTGAGCACTTACAGTAGTGACAACTCCAAATCACCATGGATCTTCGCTTTAAGCTCAATCTCAATTTCGAGGTTAAGATCCAATCTCAGTTTCAAGGGCTTATCCCTTCCTCCACCACCGCTCGGTTGCACTTGCTGCTGCTGCTGCTGCTGCTGCCTCAGCACCTGTTGCTGTTGCTGCTGCTGTCGCTGCTGAAGCTCCTGACCCCTCCGCTGTTCCAGCTCATCATAGTCGTCGTCCGTCTCGTCCACAGACGGAAGGTTGCCACGAGCACCTCTCTTTCCCCGTCTTCTCCTCTCATCACGACGGGATCGCTGCGGGGCCGGAGCCTCGTTGTCGGAGGTTGGAGCGCCGGCCTCAGAGGAGCCGTTGTCGGGGTCGTCGGATCCCAGATCACTTCGACTATCCGGATTAGTGCTGTTGGTGTCGCCGTGTTGCCGGTCCCGCCCCCTGTTGCGACGGTTCTGCTCCGGGGCTTGACTCTGCGTCTCCCCCGTCCTCGGCCTCGTCGCTTCTGCTGTGGCCATTTCGTCTAAGTGTTTGTGCGAGGTCTAAAGGTCCAAGGCAATATAATAGAAAAGGAAACAAGCGGGTATTGGTCGGGTATATCGTGAGTATACAAATATATGAAAATCAGCGGTTTTTTTTCCTCCCGAAAAATACTCGAATCCAAGATAAGATCCCAAGGGACGGGGAAAGCCCGGGACTTAATATACTCTGCCAGCATTTTCTAAAAACAAAAGAGATACCACCATTCGCCTGATGGGATCAGACATGATCGGAGAGCGTGATTTCCAGAGAGTTCCTCAGGGACCCATCATCGATTGTCGATTTTTCTTGATCTGTATCTCTTGTGACGTTGGAGGAGATGGCTGTTGGAGGTGTGTCCTGTCGTTATGCAGGCCAAGACAGGCTCTGAATGCATGCCCCATACAATAGGAAACGTCATTACAGGGATGGTTAACAAGAAAAAAAATTGGAAACGGAGGGACAAGGGTTGGTTCCTGCCAAGACTTGGCAAAGTCGGCTACCTTTTGAGATCATGGGTCGCGAGCCTTTGTGGGGCCTCTCCCCACGCGGCGTCCCCTGGCCTGGAATATCCGGTTTGGTTCTTCCTGTGTCTAGGTGGCTGAAGGGTTGATCCCATCACAATACCAGTAGCCCATCATTTCGCTTTGGGGCGAGCGCAACTGGGCGGTAAGCGTGTGGAGGGGGATAAATCAACAGGCTGGATTGCTACGGGTACAGTACAGTTCCCATCTGGTACCGTAGTCTACTGCCAGTAGGCCAATTATCTCAAGGACCTTCCATAGTACCAAGAGCACATCACCGCGAGCTGCCCCCCCCAGGCATAAACTTAGAAAAATCGCTGCGCCCCCGCCCGGTAACAACCTTTCCTCCATCCTTCCCTATCCGATCAAAATATCACCCAACCTTACGTCTACGAGTGACTATTCATGATGGCCTTGCCACCACACCCCCTGCCGCCTTTATTGCTTGTGAAGGAAAGGAGAAGTGGCCGGTGCGTCATACTTGGTATCAAAAAGGTATTGGTTTCCACAATACTGTGAGCGCACCCCACTGGTGATCTCGCCCCCATATACCTTTAGTCTATGCATTTCCTCGAGGATCGCCCCAACTCTCAGGCCGGTTTTGGGCATCCCATTGCGTGTCCAAGCAAAATTTTCTTTGGCTGAGAGTACAGTACAAGTACCGCACTCGAGTACTGCACAATGGGTATGTTGGAGCGCATCTATTCAATTCTATCTGACGCAATGAGGAGGTCATCACTTTAGCTACTATGTTACTGGCACTTCCTAAGTAATAGTCATTTGCAGGTCGAGTTAGAAAGTTAGGGAGGAGGTAACCAAGACCCTATATAATGTCATCAAAACAGAGCTTTCTAGAGTTCATGAGACGGAAAAGGTCCCTATCATCTAACCCGATTTACTACTGCTTTATCGCGTTCATAGCACTTTTAACTACATTTCTATTACTCATCATGTCTACCGAAACTGCCCAGCAGGGTCTCAGAGAAGTCCCTCCAGACCCCATAAACCCAGGGGAGATCACCACCCCCAAGAGCGAAATGGCTTCAGTAGAGGCTGCAAAGGGGGGCGTTCAATTCAACGGCGATGCTAGAGAAGATGCCGCTAGTATTGCGAAGAAGATGTCCGGCATTATCGACCCCGCTATTGATAGGCTGAAGCCAATTCTGCAAATGATTACCGAGGTTAGCACCCCGCCGCACATTTTCTCCATCTTCGAGTTCGAGTTCGGGTACGGAGGCTAAGGGTGGGTGGTAGCATGTCGACAAAGCAAACAACACCAAGAAGGAAGACCTCGACGAGGAGAAGCTAGTCGACCAGCTCAAGCCGCTTATCGAACAGGCGACCGGGATTCTACAGGAGACCCACGGTGCTATCAAGGCCCTTGACCCCGACGGAAAGGTTGCCCGCAGCGCACAGTACAAAGCTGCCGATAGCGAGGCGTCGTCTGAGGAGCAGCGCCTTGCCCAAGGCCTTGCGGAGGTATTCATCCTTTATCTTTCCCTCTCATCCGCTCAACAAACCGGAAAGCTAACCCATATTGCACTATAGTTGACCGGAAACGTCACAAAGACGATCCAAAACGCTAAAGACAAGATCAAGGACATGCCGCACGCACAGAAAAACCTGGGTCCTCTCCTAGACCTGCGCGGAGATCCTTTGTTCCAGATCATTTCTGCCGTTGGATTGCTGCTGAACGGCGTCTTGACCCTTCTCGGGAACTTGGTGTGTAACTTCCACACTTCTGTGCTGTTTTTGTGCTTTGCTCTGTTTGTGGTGTGGCGGCAGTGGCAGGAGGCTAACTGCGGAAACTTATTTTAGTTGGATGCCCTTGGCTTGGGCGGTGTTGTCAGGAACCTTCTCGGCGGTCTTGGACTCACCAAGCTACTCGATGGGCTCGGCTTGGGCAAGTGGCTTAAGCAGCCGGACTCCAAATAGATACTCTCTTCTATCCTTTCGTTTCCGAAAATAATAATAACAATAATCCTTTGATGGCATGATATTGGATTTTTGATGTCTGACTTTTGTGACTTTTTTCTTTCTTGTACGATAATCTCATGGCATTCATTGTGTGAGTGATCCTCAGAAAACCCAAGAGGTATTGCGTAATTACAAACAAGTGATTTCTGTGTAAGAGGAAGGTTCTTGGATTACCCATAGAGTGTATGACAGTGAGTTTTCTGGGTTCACGAGTTTGGATGAAAACAACGCCATCATGATAGACTACCCGTATCAGGCTGCCATCGGTTACCCTGCTCAGCCGAAACACCGCCACAACAGCACCCCGCGCGTGTCTAACGCCTCAAAGCCACACATTGAATACAACACCTGCTCGCCTCAAGGTAAATTTAAAGCTCCCAAGTGAACACCCTCATCTCTTCTCACCTGCCCCCCGTTATCTCCTACCCATTCAACCTCATAACAATAGTATAATAGCAGACCCTTCCTAAGCCCTACCCCAACCCCGCACCCGTCTGCTATCCTCCCGCAGCCTCAACCCATTATGGAGGATTCGCCTCTAGCTCTGGTGACATACCTACCCTATAGCTCCCCCCACTACCACCCTATTTCCAACTGCAAAGACTAACACACTAAAACCTAGGCCCACTCGCACGCTTGCCAGGCCTCAAAAATCCTCTCCTCGGCCCAACCCCCTTACCCTTCCGCCACTCTCCTCACTGCCGCAAATTCCCACGCCCTAGCAGCGACCTCGTTTACGGCTGCTGCAAAGTTAACTAAAGACCCCGAAGCCTTACGCACCCTCGAGCTACTAACTAAAGAGCATCAACGGTGGGAAGCTCAACTCCGACGGGACGCCGAGCAGCCGTCACAAAAGATCAAGGACCAGGAAAATCATGGTGGGCTTGATATTGCCGTTGGAGTGGGAAGCTCGGGGGCTACCACTGAGCCACCGAAGGGTGGAGAAAAAGCCTTAACGAAGGATCCACCCGCCCCCCCACCTTTGTTGCCATTCGCGAATACCAGTGGTGCGCCTTACCCGCCGAGGCTACAGAAGTCTACCTCGTCACTCGCAACGAATTTAGCATCTGCCCGTGGGATCCAACTCCCCGGCTCGGCTAGAGTTCCCGGCACACCCTCACAGTCACCGAGTCGGCGGCGTACGGGCGATCGGCCGCCAGCGATAGATGTACCGGCGAAACCGACAACGAACCCTCTAACAATCCTACCCCCGGACGAACCCAAACGAAAGGACTCCGAGGAAGGGTTCAGCAATTTCTACTCTTCGCTAAACACATTCATCTCACGGGTTGGCAGCCCGTTCGCTACATCCCTAGCCTTCGCTGGTCTACCACTACTAAATGGCGACGAGCCAGATGAAGAAACCAACAGCGAAGCCTGCAAGAACGTCCTCCCAAAGAGCTGGGTGGAAAAGCACGGTCGCGGCCGAGGCCTTGAAAAAGGTTGGCCATCCAACGACCCTAATACGGTGGAGAGTTTCTACGTGGTCCCAGTGTCCGGCGGCACACTATCCTACGCCGGCGTTGTCCGTCGCGACGCCTCACCAACCAATCAAAACTCCCCGATAGACGATTTCGAATCCCTCCCCCGAGACCTCTACTCCCGAGCCCTATCCCCCCCACCTCCCTTAGCCCAGAACCAAAGGGACCCCGGCTTAACGGGCCACACAAAAACCAAAGAGGAACTCCAACTGGAAAACACGGGCCTCCGCCAAACGATAGACCACATGTCCCGCACCATGCAGTCCTGGCAACGCAAATCGCGGGAGAGCGAGAACATGCTGAAAAACTCCCTCATGGCCTTCTCCAAGACCAACAACCGCGACAACCCCGACGCCGGCATCGACATCCTCAACCAAGTCCAGCGCAAGTCCTGGCTGCACGTGCCCTACGACGAACCCGACGACGCCGAGTTCTCGGAGGGCCGTGCCGCCGCCGCCGCTGCTGCTGCTGCTGCCGTCGGCGGCGACATGGAGTGGGACAAGGAGAGGGAGAAGAGCGAGGCGGAAGAGGAGGAGGATCGCGAGGTGAGGATCGCTACACTCGAGAGGGAACTAGCCGAGGCTAGGGGTGAGAATGACAAGCTGGCCAAGGAGAACGAGAGGTTGGGGAAGATCGTCGAGAAGTTTAGGACCAGGTGGGAGAAGCTGAAGGAGGGGGCAAGGAGTAAGAGGGCGCATCCACCAGCCGGCGGCAGTGGGGGAAGTGGCGGGAGCAACGGGGGGCAATTGAGCAGGGTCGATGAGGCGGAGTAGCTGTCCATAGCGCTGTTACAAATGGATTGCCCCCCCTCCCTTTTCCAATAGGGCATAAATCGGAGGTGCAGCGGGAGGAGTCAGGGGACTCAAGGCCACAGCGCATTGTATCAGTAATCATTCTCATTTTCTCCTTCATCTTCACTCTTACAACTAGGACAGCACTTTATTCATTGCACAAATCCGGCGTTCAATCAGGGCCTTCACGATCAAGGGGGTGGGGAATTCAATCTGTCAAACTAATCTGGCATCTAAATACACTACATACAATACCCGGGTGCGGGCAGAATTCTGACAAGAGTAGAGAGAAAGGGTATCATAGAACATCACTCGTGCACCAATCTCGCTCGATTTCACCACCACTATACATAATCAATGACAGTTAAATGTATTCCAATAAGCAAAGTGGAGATGGTGGTTATAGGAAAGAAGAAAAGAAAGGAGAGAAAGTAATATAAACTAAAAATATAGTGGACTATACACCCAGCGCCAGGAGTAACAAGCATGCTAACTTTCCAAACTGAAAGGAAAAAACGAAAAAAAAAAATAAGGAAAACAATAAGGAAAAAACGCTGCAATCGCCAAGTATCGAAGAGGGAAAGAAGAAAAAAAAGAGAGAGAGAAGAAAAAACAGTAGATTTGCCCAATGAACCAATATTCAAAAAGCAAAGCAAGGTCCCCGCACTACAAGTCACACCTCCAAATAATTACAAAAACCAAATACCAAGTCAATCAATTCAATCGGTACCATCACCATACCTCCTATCCTCAACCACCCTCCGAAGTATCGCCAACCGCTCCTCCATAACTCCGATCGCATCTTCGACCTCCCGACGTTTCATACCCTGCGCCAGGCCAGCACCCGCACCTTCATGTCTCGACCGCACAATCTTCTCGAAAGAACTCGCGCGGCCGGAGGGGGGGGCGACGACTTCGTTGATCCCGACGCGGTCCTCCAGCCACTCCCATAGTCCGTCTTCCTCCGAGCGCCAGAGGGTGTCCCAGTGTTGGTGTGGACGATGCACGCCTGAACCACCACCGGCGATCGCATCAGCACGACGGGAGTAGGCATTACGACTTTGCCACCAAAAGAATACCGTCAGGACGAGGCATATCGCGACAAGCCCTGGTGCGCCGCCAATCAGCGGGCTGATGATGTCCGCTGCGGGCCCCAGGTATGCCTTCAGTGGAGCGAATACGCCCCAGCTGGCCTGGTCCGTGGGGCTTTCAAAGCCGGCGGCTTGCGCCTCCCGGCCTTTTAGGGTTCCGCCGGCGGCACGGCCGATGGCTTCACCCTTAGCATTCAGGTCCTTCTTGCGCTTCTTGATCTTGTTCCCGGACCGTTTGCCGATAGGCTCTCTCGGTTCGACTTCCCTCTTTAGCGCGACGCGGAGGTTTTTGTTGTATGCGATCTGGCCGTCGTTGGCTCCTTTTTCGATTGGGCCTGGGGATGGCTAGTTAGCACGGCACCGGTAATTATTTTTGAGGGGGATTACACTACCCTTAAGCCAACTCTTCCCGGACCATTCGACTGTGCAGGTTGCCACAAGTCTCGTTCGATTGTCGTCCGCCCACATAAGACAGTACCGGGTTTTGACCATGAACACGTTTCCGGAAGGGACGTCGGGTGTTTGGGTGGTAGCGGTAACAATGACATGGTCCTCCAGGTCGCAATTGTCTAGAGTCTCTGTGATATTGCACTTTGTCTGCTTCGGCCCGATCCCGCCGCCAAGAGGCTTGATGTAGGAGAAACTGCGAGTCTTTTTCCCGTCCGGCCCGTCGATCCACTCGCCCTTATCCGGGATTGAGAGCTCAAGCACCTTCTCTTCATCCGCCAAGAACCGGGACATAAATGGAAGACTGGCGGGACCAAAGATGAGGGAGTAGACCCTACCGAGCGGAGCAGAAATGATATCATCGCAAAGAGGCCTATCGTAGTGGTCGTCATTGCAGGATGTTGGGGGATGAGTCTGGGGCCCAGGGTAGTCCACCACCGCACCGCTACCGTCCCCACCCGACGCACCTAAAACTGCTTGGCTAGCCTTTCTGCTTACCGACTTGGATCCCCCACTCGCGTTCTTGCCCTTATCGTCGGAAAGCGTCACATCGCCCGCATCTGTGTAACTCTCTTCCAGTTCGTCGTTGCTAGCATCCTCGTATTCGTCATCGCCTCCATCCTCCTCCTCGTATTCGCTCACTCCATCCACCGGATCACCCTCCTCAGCATCTCCGCCATCCTCAAGCCTAACCCCGGTAGCGCCAGCAACAAGTTGCGGATGTCCGATCTTCCAAATACCAACGATAAGATCATATGTACTATCTCTGGATATGAAACTTGCAAAGACATTTCGCGCATGAAGCGTCTGAATAACAATGGCATTGGGAAACAGCATAGCAGTATTCTTCTTTTCGACGCTGACAATTTCATCAAAGCTGATAATCAAAGTATTGACCCATCCGAAAATATTGGAGTAAAAGCATATGTGTCCTTCGGAAACGTACAGCCTACCCTGAAGCAGTATCTCCTTTTGCAGAGCACATCCGTAATCTTCTATCAGATAATCATCCTCAGGCACAGACCTGAACATCTCGTGAAATTCCCGGTTACGTCTCTTGGGCGCAACAGCGAATCCGGTAGGCCTAGGCACCGGCTGTGGGTTTGCACCGGAAGCCGCAGAGGACCCACGTTTTCGCCGGCCACCGCTTCTCACACTGCCAGATCTCCGCCGGTCAACATCGCCGGACCAAGTATCGTCCCGATCGTCGGGAGGACTTAAAACACTCTTCTCCGGGGCATGGTCGCCGTCTCGGCCCGCGAAAGCGGAGTCTTCCGCCACTGGTGTTTTCCTTAAAATTTCCAGACCACCAGAGCCGCCGGGGACAACGGGGCTGTTGAAAGCGCTTTCCACAGCGGTCTCGAACCCGCCGCGAGAGCTGACAGCAGAGTCCAGAGATCGGAGAGCTTCATCGTCAAGACTCCCATCAACAAACCCCGCCCGGTGAACCGGAATGGCGGGAACCCCAGTTTGCAGCACGGTTCCACCGCTCCCGGGGATTACGCGATTATCTCCGGTCTCCGAGTTTGCCCCATGACTGATAACACTTGCCGACCTCGAGGGCCGACCCTCGCTAGGAGGCGCGCTCGATTTTTGCGAATTGGGGAGTATGCCCAAACTGCCCAAGCTAAGCTCACCCTGGCCCAACGTCTCGACTGCAGGCCGCTTCTGCGGCTCGCTCCTCTCTGCTTCGGAGCCGGAGCCCCCGCCTTGCTGCACCATTTCCCTTTCGGTCTCCGAAGCCCCTGTTCCACTTCTCGACCGGATCCCACCGGCAGTGTTTGTAGCGTTGGCATTAGCGACAGCATTACCCAGGGTTGTCGCCGCATTCTGTGCAACTGAAAACATGGACTGAAAGAATCCGCCGCTCGTGTTGTTACCTAGGCCGGGTTGTGGACTTGTGTCCGGAGTAGCACCACCTTCAATCGTAGGAGTCAGAGGCGCTGTCATACTCTGGGACAGCTTGCTAGGAGCATTACTCAAGGAATTCGCTCTACTCCTCTTCTTCATACCGCTGTCCCCAGCTTGTACCGCGCCAACTGGACTCTTTAGTGGAAAGTGCTGCGAATCTGTGGGTGTGGGCGGTGTTATGGTTGTTTTTATAGTCCCATCCGCGTTCACGCCGCTTTCGGAAGTGATTATCGGCTGTGCACGAGTCTCAGTCAAAATAGTTGGCCAAGGTTTAGCATTGTGTTCGCTAGAGACTACCTTTGGTGATATCGCAGCAGCTATATCACTGCCATCCGAGGTTCCAACAGACGAACGTGCAGGGCGCTGGTTTCGATCCTCGGATACACGACCAGCTTCCCCTCCAGATGTAGCGGGACGAGCTTCCGAGTGAGAGGATTGGCTGAGGGCGCTTGGGTTGCTGCCAGTAGGAATTAGGCCAGACAGACTACCACCGGTACCGGAGTTCGTATTCGTCCGTTTCTCCGGCGGTTGGGGAGAGGTGGTACGTCGTAAAAATGGAACACCCAAGATACCACCCGAAACTTTCTTACCGCTCCCAGATTCGGGTTTGGTGTTTCCGGTCGTCACAGTAGCGGTTGTATCCGAGTATGAGGAAAAGGTTGCAGCGTGGGAAGGCCGCCTGGATCCGGATGGGGAGGATTGCCCGTTCGAAGGAGGGGACGACAGTGTGAGGTAACCAGACGCATCAGTAATCGGATGAGTAGGCCTGGCAGCGGCAGCAGCCATGTCAGTCGTGGCCAGCTGCAGATGAATAATCGGAAAAAATGGAGGGAAAGGAGGAATCAATAAGAGAGGAAGGAGAGAGAAGGACAAAGAGCCAAAGAAGGAAATCACAATAAAATAGAATATAAAATAAAGAATAGCCGTGGGAACAAGGCGAGCTTATATCCAGGGCAGACTACCGGTATAAGAATGCATACGATAGTGATGGAACACATGTTCGGTGTGAGGGTGAAAAAAAAAATAAAAACCGGTGAATCAAGTCAAGCGAACCTCAAACTTACATGTCTTCGTCCGAATCATGCAGAAGACTATTCCTATCATCCTCACTGGCGCCCCGTTCCTTTCCGTTCTCCTTTAAAGAATCCCCCCTCCCTCGTCCACCCCCTCCTCCCCGATTGTCACCACCATCCCCCTCATTGTCCTTGTCCTCCTCAATACTTGTAAAGCTCGCACCCGCGGAATCACTCTTTACCTTCCTCCCGAAAACCCCCTTCCTCTTCTTCACCCCCCCTCCGCCCTCCGCCCCCTTCGTCCCGCCACCTCCGGCAGCAGCAGCAGCGACAAGAGACCCCTTCGAACCAGCAGAAGACCTGTCCAAGCTCTCCACGCTTTCCCCGCTCTTCAGCGAGCTCCCGGCCGAAGCGAGGGTATTCGACGACGACGACGACGACGACGAGACACCGAGGTTCTGCGTCGACCTCTTTTTCAAGCCGAAAAGTGAGCGTTTCGGCTGCTGGGGTTGGCTGCCGTTCGGGCTACCGGCGGACAGAGTGGGGGCCGGGGGAGGGGGTGGAGGTGGAGGAGGTGGAGGCGCAGCTGTCGAGGTGGGTGTATCGGGGGTGGCGGTCGACATGGAATGAAAAGGTTATAAAGATCTGTTTCTTCGAAAAATAAAAAGGATAGTTTGGGCAGAAAGGGAGGGAGGATGGGAGAGGAGAGGAGAGGAGGGGGAGTGAAATTCAGCTCAGCAGAGGCTTTGCTTGCGGGAGCAGACTAAGGGTGAAGTGAGCACAGCGGAAGGGAGACAGTGAGAAAGGGAAGGGGAGGCTTATGCAGGAGAGCAATTCAACGGGCTACCGGCGCCCTTTCTTCTTCCTCTCCTTCTTTCTTTTTCTTCCATTCCTCCTCCTTTTTTTTTTTCCTTTTTCCCAGTTTTCCCCTATCGTATGGTACTATCTAGCCTTACCTAACCTAGCGGCAACCTATGATATCCTGCTTGTACGGCACCATACAAGTACTGTAAGGCAAAAGTGCCAATTAAGACAGGAATAGCCTGCGCGGGCTGCACTACCCTATGATACTCGTAAAATGGCATTCTCGGCGACCGAACTGTCCAGCTCCAGCCACAGGCGAGACTCCCTGGCCTCCCGCCACGGCATGTGGTGAGCCGGCATGATACCGGCACAGTATTGACGGATTACGGTGGACCAACCAACCCTTTGCTCGTGATAGTGGCGGTACCGGTAATACAGCCGTGATTCCTTGTTTATGAAAGTTCTTGGCGCACTGGACTGTACGAGTACTGTACAGTACTGTACCCCACAAGTATTCAATGCGTAAACATACAGCAGCATCATACGGTATACCGGAATAACCTGTACCGTACTGTACGAGTACGGTATGTACGGCACCCCACCCCCCTCCAAACCATCCGCCGTGCAGATACACACACAATCAGGATTCATCGCGACAACAAGCCCCATGCAACCATCCACCTCATCCATCCCATCTCGCCCCAACCCATCGCGCGCCCGTACCGGTACCCGTGCCCAAACAGTTTGCCCAAAAGCCGGGAACAAACCCTTCCGTCACCGCCACCCGCCCTCCTCTCCGCGCACGGCTGCAGATTCCACCCATGCGAGCGCCCGAGCTCGGTCGTAGGGGGGAGGGGTCATGACATTGCGAAGGGTGCGGTCCCTTTTTAGGGGCGACGGGGGCACGAGTAGGGGTCGTGCTGTATCACTCGGTTTCCTGATCAAGTTTTAATTCTCGGGGGTGGTGTTTGCGCAGGCCGTTGCAGGGTACAGTACTGTACGGGTACCGGTAGTGAGGTTCTGGGATATGTGTGGTGAGATTTGCCGAGAGGTGGGCCGCGGTATCACAGGTACTGTATGGATACGATAATACGCTTGGTTGGTTGGGTTTGAGGGGGTGGCATTGTGTGGTTTGATCAGCTCCGATTCCGAGGCTGAGATGAAGAAGACTACGATTCCTGTGTATGCGGTGCCTGAGGTTACATGGAAGAAAAGTGTGCTTCGTGGTTGCCTCCCCAATTGCTTTGCCCCCCTATCGTACTGGGGCGGGATTTCCAATTGCGCAGCAGAAAAGGGGAATTCCAACCTCACAGCACCCTTCCCCTCTGTGGTATTCGAGTTCTCATCATACGAGCACTGTGCAGTTCAGTATTGTGCCGGCACTACAGAATCGGCGGCCCCTGGACACTTCAATGCTCTAGAGTTAGTAAATTAGTCCCACTACTCGTACGAGTCAAGCCTGTGTGACCTTACCGCTCTAGGCAATAACGTTGTATTGGCACAATACTCAGCCAACCCTCTTTTTTCCTTCTCTTTCTTCCACACATGTGCCCACCAATCCCCTTGGCCACCAAAATTTTATCCCAACTCTGAGAGGTATGATATCGTGGCGAGAAAACGACCGTCCAGAATGGTATCTGTAAATCTATGAACGTGTTCATGACATCATTTGGGATCATTGATTATACGAGTACGAGTACGGAAGCAAATCATCAAAACAACAGCAATGGTACTGCTCTTGTTCGTGGAAGAGTGGGGAAATTTTGTAATTTGGTTGACCCTGAGGAGCAGCGACCATACTGCCAGTGTACCGCGGCAGCACTGGTAACTTGCTGTGCCTGTACCGGTAGTCCACAGAGCACCGTGGTGATCCCCGAGTTAACAAATGGGGAGGTTTCGAAGCTCTCAGTACGAAGGGGGTCGGGGAAAGTCTGGCGAACGGAGGGGAGCAGAAACGAGGGATGGTACGAGAAGGGGTATTGGAGGAAATATTAAGGGATTAAATTGTATGGTTGGGTTGGGCTGGAGCAGCGCGGAAACTTTAGTTTGGTTTAGAAAGCGTGAAATGGAAAAGGTTTTTTTTGTTATAAAAAAAGAAAGTCTGGTGAATTTGGTGGTGTATGTGGCAGTGGCATTTTGTAAGAAGGAACTTACTGATATAAGTATTTGACCATAATACTCGAGTATGTGATTTTAAAGTGTACTCACGCTCTCCCCGTAGCAAACAGTACTTAAAGGCATTACAGTTCTATGATGAAGACTACTGGTACTTGGACTGATTATTTTCAATTGGAAATCTAAGGAGGAGAAACAAACCATGATAAAAGAGTTCATATTGTCATACTATGCAATTATACTAAGCTACCTATGAGGTGGAAAGATGTTACACATACAGTAAGATATAAGCTCCTTAATGATAGGACTGAGACTTACTAGTTAGTGAATATAAGGTAAATATCAACTGCCATACATGTCAAAAGATCTATTAAAGAATAAAGATATATAATAGACCAAAAAAACACTCTCTGATCTCATCAGCCACCAGTTTTTGATGATTAAGAAAAAGAATATTTCTAGACTTTTGTAATATAAGATCAAGGAACTTGAACTTGTTGTATGTCTTAGAATATAATATGGGAACAGATGAGCTACGCCTGCTCTTCAGATCATATTTACCATATCATAGACAGTATTGGCTATTATAAGTATTAACTATAATGCAAGTTCAAAGTATGACTATAAAATCACATATAACAGGTACAGTAGACTCAAAGTCACCTCTACTGGATATTGAATAACTAGTCTAGGATACTGTTCTCTGATAAGTCCTACTTTTCTATAGTTGGCTTCAACTACTAACTTATAGTAATATAAAATGCCGTAGAAGAATACTATTCTGATTGTATTGATGATTGAGAATATTCTAGAAGAGATGGCATTGTAGTATAGGAAGCATTTTGTACTGAAAAAAAGTTTGAGTTGATCTTTGTTTCAAATAAGATATTCATTGATTCTACTACTTATACTTAATTATTTCCTGACTTACATCTGATTCCCTTCTAGGATAAAACTTATAAGAAATTAGGCTAGACACAGATGGTAGAGAATTGGGCCCCTGGTTATTAAAAATTTGCAATTAGATATTGGCAAAGGCATAGGGTTGACAGGATAATAGATTAGCCACTCCAATTTCCAGACCTTAATTTGATAGAAATAGTTCAGTGATAAATAGAATGTGAATTAGGAGAACATTCAGGCTGAGGAAGGATTGAAGAGTTAGAGCCATTAACAGTAGTTCTAAGAATTGTTTGGAATGCAGTATAGGTTGATTTTTTAAAGAGCCTTGTTAGAAGTATGTCTGACAGGTGGCAAGCTATTATAAATACTGATAGGGCCTTGTATATTACTAGTTTTATAGGACTATGTACTTAAAATTATGAAAGAAGAGTAGGAGAGATAATATAAAGAGAAATTGTTTTCTTTAATATTTGTACAGTACTAGTAGAACTTTATTGTATTAGTAAACTACCATATTATTATATATAAAAGTGTAATAAGTATAGTATAAGACTAAATATATAAGATTACAGGTTTGACTTTAAACCTCACTATAGTTATTATTATGATAAACTATTATTACATGAAACAATAAGGGATCTATGCTGCATGCTTCATAGAGATACAAGGTATATCAGTAAAAATAAAAGCTTATATCTTGTGCGTTCTATGTATCAGACACACAGGATGCACAGGATGCAAACTATGACTGAGGATGTAACAGTTCTTGATGTTAGAAGTTAGGATGCAACCAAGTACTCTCAGAATTCTCTGGATGCAACTGACATCAGCAAAAATTATTTTTGTATCAGAGGTATGGGCAGTATATCCTGACGCAAGGCGGCAGGATTCTATGTCCAGTATGTCCTATATGTCTAGTACTCAGGTGCCAAGTCTGATTACATCCTGTGC